CGGGGGCCGGGAGCGCTGCCGGCCCCGGACGCGGGGCTGCTTTGTGCTTCTCTGCCGTTTCCGTGCGCTGGAGCTGCCGTGTCCGCTGCCTCGGCCTGGAGTAGTTGCTTGGCACCGAGAGAGCGCACGGCGGGCTTCACCCGCGCACCGGGGGGTGTCCGCACCGGGGGGAGCCTGGCGCCTCGTCCCTGCCCCGGGCAAGCGGCTGTGTGTCCCCGCACAACGAGCTTCTCAGACTCGTTCCCTCAGGGCTAACGCTTCGGGGGGTGGCGATGCCGGTGTGTCCCCCCTGCAAAGTTGGCACATCTGGCGGTGTCTCCTCTGCTTTTGGGTCGGGACCCCCCTCCTGCTGAGGAAGGAGCTCGGGTGGCAGTGCTGACAGTGCTGACAGTCCTGGAGTGCTGTCAGTGTCTGTCATCGCTCTGTAGTTATCTGCTCTGATACTGCTGGGAGCTCCATGTCGTTGGGGAGATCTTCCCCTTAAGCAACAACTGGTTTGTTCCTCCCTCCCGCCGCCTTGGCTTTAAATAACCTGAAAGTCTAATAATTGATAATCTCTCCTGTGGTGGTAAAGGTGGTGTGTGAGTTCAAAATAACAGTAGTAAATGTGTTTGTTAGGTACCAAACAGTTTTCTAAGGATACTGAGGTACCTAAACTTCAGAGGGGAGGTGCACGCTGATGGGACTGAGGTACCAGTGCCATATCTGGCAGCGTGGCACACAGAACCAAGTGTCCTGCTCTTTCTTGGTTTTTTTTTAAAGCTTCTCTCTGAAGATTTCACAGTTTAAATAAAACTATTTCAGTAAGGCGCATAATAGACTAAAATAGAAAAAAAATTTATCCAGTAAGGGATAAAGGAGCAGTCGCATGGAAATTGAAGACTGGATTTGATGCACGGGGATGATCGTTTCTGCCTTCTCAAGGCTGTGTTTCCTGCTGTGCAGGGGAAGCTGCTGGAGTCATTTTGGTGTAGTACCTAAAGAAAACCATCAAACTCAGTGTTCACAAAGTGCAGGCACAGCAGGGGGTAGCAAGAGTTGAATCAGGAGCTGTAACTTTCCTCCTCTCTCCAGCAGTGGACAGGTTTAATTTATGTTTCTGCTTTCAGGAGGATTGTGTTGCCTTGAATCTGAAGGGCCTGTGCCATTGTCAGGAAAGGAGGTGACATCACTTAAAAGCCCAAGGAACAATGCAGTTGTTCTGTGATGTTGTTTTGCAACAATAATGATTTGCATTGTCTTTGTCCATTTTATTATGTGAGGTGAAACTGGAAAATACTGAGTGTGCGGTGCAGGGCTGGGGGAAATCCCCCTCTGCACCCCCTGCTGTACCCGGTGACTGTCCAGTGGTTTGGGTTAGAACTAAACTCTTTGCCTAAACCACACTTGCTTCTGCCACCTAAAGGGGACAGGAGCTGTGCTTGTTTTTTAAATGATTCATAACTGCTGCAATTACCAAAATTCATTTTTAGGCTGTGAGGGCCTGTGCATTTGTACTTTTAAATTGTACAGATAGGGCTGCTGAGCTCATTTCTCAAAGTCTGAACAGATTCAGCCCAATACAAAGTTATGGCAGAGCTGGGAGTAGAATCTTGATTTCTTGGCTTTTCTCTGCAGCTTCTGATGTTCCTTAGCCCCTTTTTCTCCTTTTGTAACATATCTATCATTGAATTTTACTTGGGTTTCTTGCATTATATCCACGCAGCCTTACTGTCACAGAGCATTTCTAAAAAGAAAATGTGAATTGACTCATTTTGACCACTCTTGAATGTCTTTGTTGCAGTTTATACCTGTTATCTGCAGATGAAGCCTAATCTTTCTTTTTATTGAATTTGCTCTTTTTCAGCCGAGTGGTTTTACCTTGCTCAGTGCAAGAGGTACGTCCTCATCCTACCTGCTTTTTTGGGGTGATGGGGGGGAAGAGGTTAGGGTCTTACTTAAAGCTGATGAGCCTGGATGCAGAGGTTGCCCGTGCTGTGTGCCCACTGCTCTGCCCAGTGTGTGTGAGCCACCAGCGGAGCAGAGTTAAACCTCCTGCAGATCAGTGAATTTCAGAGCAGGCAAAGAACCTTATTTCTGAGCTGCTCCACGGGTTATGAACAAGAAAGTTGTGCAATTCTGAGCTCGGGCAGAATTTTCCTGCCTCAGATTGAGGCATTGAGTGGCTCCAGGCTTTTTCCTAAAGGGAAAGGTAGGAGTCACCTTCTGAGGTCTGAAGCCTGCAATTTAGTTGCCACTGAGACACATATTTGGTGTTCTATAATGCATTAATGTGAAACAAGCTGATTATAGATGCTTGGCAGCTACAGATACATTTTGCCAGGGGATTTTCATATTTTCCTAAGTTTTTCCTGCTGGTCGAGGCATTGAGCGGCTCCAGGCTTTTTCCTAAAGGGAAAGGTAGGAGTCACCTTCTGAGGTCTGAAGCCTGCAATTTAGTTGCCACTGAGACACATATTTGGTGTTCTATAATGCATTAATGTGAAACAAGCTGATTATAGATGCTTGGCAGCTACAGATACATTTTGCCAGGGGATTTTCATATTTTCCTAAGTTATTTTACATGATGTATTTTACTTTCCTGATCGTTTCGTTTGTACTAAGAAATTTTCCCTGGAAACGGCTGAATTTTTTTATGCTTTAAAAGTTTTGGCTAACTTTAATATTGAAATTTTTCTTCTCTTAACTCCTCAGTATCAAGTTGGGCAACTTTATTCTGTGGCAGAAGCTAGCAAAAATGAAACAGGAGGCGGCGAAGGAATTCAAGTCTTAAAAAACGAGCCTTACGAAAAGGATGGCGAGAAGGGACAATACACTCACAAAATCTATCACTTAAAGAGGTGAGAAAAACGTTGTTATGTGCTATGGTCTCCTGGCTGTTGAGTGATAATGCATTAATGTGAAACAAGCTGATTATAGATGCTTGGCAGCTACAGATACATTTTGCCAGGGGATTTTCATATTTTCCTAAGTTATTTTACATGATGTATTTTACTTTCCTGATCGTTTCGTTTGTACTAAGAAATTTTCCCTGGAAACGGCTGAATTTTTTTATGCTTTAAAAGTTTTGGCTAACTTTAATATTGAAATTTTTCTTCTCTTAACTCCTCAGTATCAAGTTGGGCAGCTTTATTCTGTGGCAGAAGCTAGCAAAAATGAAACAGGAGGCGGCGAAGGAATTCAAGTCTTAAAAAACGAGCCTTACGAAAAGGATGGCGAGAAGGGACAATACACTCACAAAATCTATCACTTAAAGAGGTGAGAAAAACATTGATACGTACTATGGTCCCCTGGGTGTTGAGCAAGGGATGGTTGGAGGTGAGGGCAGCCTTCCATTGTTTACTGTTCTGGGCTACTCGGGATTTTCTGCCGCTCTTTAATTTGCTGAATTGTGCACGAATGCTCTGGTGAGTGGAAAAACATGTGAAATACAGTGGATTTTAAATATGTGGATAGAGAGAGAACCATGCAAGATGCCCCATCTGTAACTAGGCAAATAAATCTCCAAGTAGGAATAGTATTAATTCTTAGTAGATAGCCAGAGTGATGGGTTGGTATCATAGGTGCTTTGTAGGATAACCCAAAGGTAAGGGGTGTTGATATAGAAGGATAAAGAAAAGGAGAATGGTTATTGCATTATAAAGGAAGAATATTTTTATATGATCTGGTACTTAAAAAGAGTTCTTACTGCCTGAATGCTGTTGGAGGGTGTAGAGAGGTGGGGGTCGGTCTGTTCTCCCAAGGAACAGGCGATGGGACGAGAGGAAATGGCCTCAAGTTGCACCAGAGGAGGTTCAGATTGGAGATTAGGAAAAATGTTTACACTGAAAGGGTTATGAAGCCTTGGAATGGGCTGCCCAGGGAAGGGGTTGAGGCATCATCCCTGGAGGGATTTAAAAGATGGGCTGACAAAGTGCTGAAATAGCTGGACGCTGCTTTCTACATCATAACCTTTAAGGTGCTTGGGTAGAATGTGCCTTTTTTTATTAGAGTGGGTAAAATCAATGAGGAATTTCAACTGGCAAAAATCTAAAAAAAATGTTGTCACTGTTTGTTTCTCCCAGTAAAGTTCCTGGTTTCGTAAGGATGTTTGCTCCAGAAGGCTCCCTGGTCTTCCACGAGAAGGCTTGGAACGCGTATCCCTACTGTAGAACAAGTAGGTGTCCTGTGGTGTGTTCTGCTGTCGGTGTTCAGTCAAGGAACGGTCGTAAATAGGTTAGGAAAAAAGAGGGTGCCATAAGTGGAAAAAATATATTTCGAATTTTTATGTTGTATTTGTGGGATCTCTTCTGAAAAGGAGAGTTTCTGCAGAGCAGCCTCAATGGCCCAGTTCACTGGTGTCCAGTGTCCCCGGGGTAAGGCTGAAAAGGTGATTCTCTTAAGGTCTAGAAGAAGCCTGTTTGAAAAGAATTTAATTCTTCATATTCTGTTAGAATAGGGTGACTGCTTTATCTTAATACTTTTAATTGCATACGTTTTTAAGAGTAAACTCTATTTCTTTCATGTTTCTGTTGAATAGTTTGAAGTATCTTATAACAAACTCCTAAAGTTAAGGCCAGCAACTCAGTCTGCTAAAGTCTCTGACTTGCACACAAATCCTGTTAGACAAATTTTCAATGTTTCTTCTACTGTGAAGCAATAATTGTATGTGAGATTTTTCATAAACAATTGTATCTAATAACACTTTGTGTTTCCTTTTCATTTTTGTTGCCTGTGTTTCCAATGACCAGTTGTGACAGTGAGTATTTGAATTCTTTTCAGTCCTATCTTGGGTTTTTTGAAGTATATTTTATCTGTTATTACTGCTACAATTGACTCTGACTCTAGCAAAGTAGCTCCAGCCTTTCATGTAAGCCCTGCCAGGGTTGCTGGCATAGAGCTCCTTGTTACTTTATTTGTCTGAACTTGGCTATAATTAGAAAGAACTGTAATTTGTCAGAGAAATGCTTTCATTTTTTTACGTCTTCTTTTATGCCTTTACTTGCCATTACAGCTGCATAATGTCTGTCCTGGTAGGACATAATGTTAAAAAGGGAATAAAAAAAATCAAAAGCCAAATCAGAGGTTTCTACAGTCTTGAATGCAGGAAGAGCAATGAAATAAAATCCGCATGAAATCCCATTTCTGTAAAGTGAAATCCTGCCTCAGTTAAAGTGGGTTAACTGGGAATTTAAATCAACAGATCTGGCAGGTTGGGGTTTTTTGTTTTTTATTTAAGGTGTCTTTTGGAAAGAGATCATGAAGACTCTATTTCCCCATGTATATATTTTGGTCACCTGTGTAAGGAAGCTTGTAAGCTCCACGTTAAATTGCTTTATCTGCTCAGTTACAAACTGGTGTGGGCTGTCACTGGGTGGGTGCAACAGGAGGAGTAACAAATGAGTTTGTGAATTGTTTAGTTTGACTCACTGTGACACATGTACACACTGCGATACACCTATGCACAGATGTGTTTTAGTTGTTTTGTCTTAATTTTCAAATTATTAATACTGCAGTTATTTCAAAATAGAGGTAAAGAATTTCAGGTTTGAGGAAGAAGGGCGGTAAATGACAGTGTTAGTTCTGTTTGTACACACAGGGTTAGAGTTGATTTCTTTCTTACTGCTGGAGCTGATACTTAAGATACAGATGCTGGTTACTTCATTGTACCTATTTCTGTGTGGTTTGGGGACTGTTTCTTTTAGTATTTTTATAGAGTGTGTTGTTAGTCAAGGCTTAGTAGTGACTTGTATGTAGATAACATTTATCTAAACTTTTAACAGATACTGCAGTTATTTCAAAATAGAGGTAAAGAATTTCAGGTTTGAGGAAGAAGGGTGGTAAATGACAGTGTTAGTTCTGTTTGTACACACAGGGTTAGAGTTGATTTCTTTCTTACTGCTGGAGCTGGTACTTAAGATGTAGATGCCAGTTACTTCATTGTACCTATTTCTGTGTGTAGTTTGGGGACTGTTTCTTTTATTATTTTTATAGAGTATGTTGTTAGTCAAGGCATAGTAGTGACTTGTATGTAGATAACATGTATCTAAACTTTTAACAAAGAGGTGTAATCAAACTCATGCTGTTTGATTTGTCTTCTTACAGAACGAATACATGAAAGATGATTTCTTCATAAAAATTGAGACCTGGCATAAACCAGATCTGGGAACATCAGAGAACGTGAGTTGGGATTTGGATATCGAGCATTAGTAATATTTTCAACACACATTTATCCAGAATGTCCATTTATTCCATGCCTGGTGTTGGTGGATAATTACTGCGTAAAGTCCAAGCTCTGCCAGTGATTAATGTAAAACAAGAAAAGCCTTACTCAGATCTTTTGAAGGTGGTCAAGCTGTCTGATGGAACGAGGTGCAAGAACTAGAAAAGGTTTTTATGTTGAGGTCAATGCAGAGGCTTGATTCTCACTCAAATATTTAAATAGATTTTTAGTAAGTTCTTTTCAATTTCATGTTCTTTTACCCGAGACACGCTACTGCTACTCAGGCTGACAAGTTTGAAAACAGGTTTCACGAGGCTTTTGGACCTTACCTGTGCTCACTTCTCTGGAGTTGCCTATTGAAGCTGTTTCTGGGGATTTTCCAGGCTGACAATACTCTCGCTTTCCTCCCCAGACAGTTGATTTGGTTCCTGGGTCTCTTCAGGAGATTTTTAACTATACTGACAAATGTATTTATAAACCATCCACAGAGGAATAGTTGTCAGTATGTTTTCAGCGTGTGGAGAAGCTGTTGTGCTGGTGTTCAGGTGTGAAGCTGATTTACGTCTTCTTTGTATGTAGACCTTTCTATACCTTCACACCTCACACGCTCCACCAGGTCCATGTTAAAGGCAGCCCTTTGACTTGGGGAACCTACTAGATGTAGTCAAGTTGCTGAAACCTGCCATACTCACACTTTGGAATTTGCAGGGCTGTTTTCTATACCAAAAAGCTCCTGCAGATTATGGAATGGGTAGTGTTCCTAATTAGAGGTTGATTTCATTAGTGTTGATGAATGTGACAGAAGAATACAGCTGAATCTTAAATCCAGGTTTCCTGAATGCACAAGAACTGAAGGCTTTGTGCT